AAAAAAAAAAAAAAAAGGCAGCAGCTGTCATAGCCCTTTTCCGGTCATGACACAAAGGCTAAATGAAGTCTCAGCCTGATAATAACATGTACTTTATCAATGCCAGCTGTCATCAAATTTGGATCACTCTACATACAGATCTTTTAAAAAAATTTTTTATCTTTTCATTTTATGTATTTGCTACAGGGTCTCATTACGCAGCTCAGACTCATACTGATCCTCCTGCTTTCAGCCTCCCCAGCACTGGGAATACAGGCAGGCATCACCACGCCTGGACTGAGTCACCCCAGCGGCAGGGCCGGCGCGACCTGTGGGACTGGGGATGGAACATATACAGGTAGTTAATCTCCCATTTATTGGTTAGGTTTTTATTACTTGCAGTTGAAAAATGCCTTCTATACATGCAGGTGAAGTTTTTTTATGGTACAATGAGTCTGGAACAGGCCTTGGTGGGAGCCAGGAGAGCTTTAGGCAGCCGTCAGCACGGACAGTGGCTAACTCCAACGCAGAAGAGACATTCAGGAAACGGGAAGAGTGCAGAGGGCTTGCTCCAGAGCCCACATTAGGGGCCAGCAGTCACACTACAGTGGGGGCAGGGGTATGCTTGGAGAGAGGCACTGTTGGGTGCTTTCATCGGCGCCGGGCTCTTAGAATGTGCACAACAACCCCAACCACACAGCCTGCGGCACACCAGCCCACCCTGCAGCCCCACTGGACACTGCTGTGGCACACTGCTACACGAACGCTGCAGGCGACTCTGACGCGGTGCTCTTGCGTAGCCACACACCTAGACACAGAAACGGTACAGTGAAAACATTAGGCAATAGCACTGCTCAGCTCCACTGCAATGTCCATGCTATGGCTGAAAGAAACATCATTATGGAGCATACATCTGTTTTTAAAAGTTGTGAAGGAAATGGACAGTCCTTAAAAAACTAGAGGTTTCATTTGACCCAGATATTCCCCTTCTTGATATCTTCCCAAAGGAATTACAAGCATCATGCCGCAGTAATATATGCACACCTGTGCTTAGAGTGGTGCAGACCGCAATAATTAAATCTTGAAGACAGCCCAAATGCCCATCAACCACTGAACGGGTAAAGAAGACTTTTTTATAATGGAGTACTATTCTGCCATAAAAAGGATAAGCTTGGGGCTACGAAGATAGCTCAGTAGAATAAGTGCTTGCTTGGCAAGCACAAGAGCCTGAGTTCAATCCTCGGTTCCGCAAAAAAAAAAAAAAAGGATAAGCTTGAGACATTTCCAGCTAAATAGATGCACCTAGAGACCACATCCTTAAGTGAAATACATTGGACACACCTGTTCAAATATTGCATGGCTTCCCTGGTGTGAGAAATTGAAAGTGTGAATAAGGACCAAAATGTATAATAGATATTAGGAAATAGAAAGAAAATGTTCAAACGAGAAGGGGAACAAGTGGGGTGAGGAATGGAAGGAAGGAACAAAAAACAAGGAAAAGTGAAAACAAAGCTTTTTTTTTTTTTTTTTTTCGGAACCAGGGATTGAACTCAGATCCTTGTGTTTGCCAGTCAAGCGCTTATCCTACTGAGCCATCTCCCTGGCCCCAAAACAAAGCTTTTGGAAATACAGAGATGAAAAGGAGTTGAAGGGAAGGAAGGGGAATGGGGAAAAAAGTAAGCCATATAGCTCCCTATGATGAAGGCTACCACTGTGTACATTGTATATCGAAAGTGTACCACTAAAAGGGCCGGCCAGATAGCTCAGATTAAAGCGTCTTCTTAGGCAGATTCTTAGGCAGATAGAGCGGCAGCGGGTTCGTTCCCAGCGTGCTGTGCCAGCCCCGCCCCGCCTGGCGGCCCACCCCTAATCCCAGCACTTGGGCGGCTGAAAACAGGAGGATCCCTGAGTCCGATCTGTATAGTGAGACCCTGTAGACCCTGTACTAAAATACAAAAATAAATAAAATAAAATGTACCAATATAATTTTTAAAAACAAATTTTTAAAAAGTTGTGCAGCATTTTATTAATGCCAAGTTCAGTGGGCATTTTTAAAAAGTGCTAAAGGGGAGGGGCAGGGAGATAGCTCAGTAGAGTAAGCACTTGCCTGGCAAGCGCAAGGACCTGTTTAATCCCTGGTTCCTAAAAAAAAAAAAGCGCTTAATCACCCACTCTTGGCAGGACTAGTATGTGCCATTTACAAACGTACAACAGTATTACAAAGATATTTTTATTTTCTCTTTATCTCCTATTGAACTCAGGTCACATTCTTATACCTACACTCCCCTCCTTAGCAGTTCTAAACCATCTCAAGACAAAGTAGTTCTGTAGGGCTGGCCAAATAGCTCAGCTGATTAAGTGTCTGCTGAGCAGCAGCCGGGATTTGATTCCCGCCCAGCCGTGCAGTGGGGGGCCGGGAGGTGCCGTGAGGTGCCGGCCCGCGTCTGAGGCACACTGAGACAGTGATTGATACTGGCCATGGTGGAGCACGCCTGCAATCTCAGTGCTTGGGAGGCTGAACACAGGCGGATCATTATGAGTCTGATCTACATAGTGAGACCCCATAGACCCTGAACTAAAAAAAAAAAAAAAAAAAAAAAAAAAAGTAGCTCTGTAAGGGTTTAAAGAACAGTCATATAGGGCTGGCGAGATGGCTCAGTGGTCTAAAGCACCTACTTGGAACAAGCTTGGAAAAGCACAGGGACCGCGGTTCAATCCCCCAGCACCACACCCCCAGCACCACATGCCAGCCAGCCCTGCCCCCTGGTGGGCTGAGTGGGCCACACACACACACACACACACACACACTAAACAAATAAATGTTAAAAAAAAAAAAAACAGTCATATACAATGCTACCCTATGGACAAAGGGTTTAACTGTTTTTGAAACTTGAAAATGTCTAAAAGGAAATAAGCTATGGAGATTCCTCAGAAAAAAGAAATTGTGCAGGGAAAGAGGAAATTGGAGCAAAGTGGCCAAAGATGTAGGAAGCATTCTGGGGGCTCAGCGTCTGGAAAGCCCAAGGCAGGGCAGCCAACACCCGGGGCAGTGCTGACAGGAGTTTCTTTTGGCTACCTCCTCCTGTCCTTCACGAGCCTCCAGATGATCGGAGTCCCCAGAGACCCCTGTGTAGCTCCGTGTTCCTGTCCCATTGCAGCCCACCCTTCAATGGGTTACTTCAGGGCTGGCGCTGCCTCCCTCTCCCCTGGTCGCACTGCAGACTGCAGTATTTGGGCCACAAAGGAGGTGCCCTTTGCCTTGTATTTGATCCCCAGTATCGGGTTCACAGCAGCCTCTTGAAAGGCTTTCAGGATTTGGGGCTGACCACTTCAGGAACAGCTGGAGAAATGGGGGAGGGGCGCAAAGGGGGTGGAACATTACTAATGGGATGTGATAGTTCTTAGTGCTAAACGACTGTAAAAAAAAAAGGGGGGGTGGGCTGCAGGTGAAATGGGTAGGGGATTGGTGATAAAATATTCAAATATTATGTGATGTGGATTCACAAACAAAAAGTGATGCTCACTGGGCTTGGTGGTGCATTCCTGTAATCCCAGCAATGGAAGCTGAGGCAGGGGGGTTGCCAGGAGTTTGAGGCCAGTCTGGGTTACATATAGTAGTGAGTTCAAAGCCAGCCTCGAAGCCAGAGGGAAACCCTGTAGCCCCCGAAAAGTGAAGTTCAAATTTTCAGGTCCTCCGGGTAAAATGCACAGGATATACTGAACAGTGTAATCCCCTGAAGTTAGAGCTCCTCGAATGCTCAGCAAACGCGAAGACAACTGTTTTCCTCTGCCTGGATCTCCACCTCTGGCGGCCCGCAGGTGAAGAGTTAGCTGGGCCTCAACGCCTACACAGAGAAGGGGGCGACCGAGGAACGACTTAAGGAAAGGTTAACAGGCAAGGGAAGGGAGGGTCTCCAGCTCGGCTCTGCACCAGCTGCGCCCTGGGCGCACGTACCCCTCCACCGCTCCAGCACCCTTGCCGGACGCGCGAGCTTTCTTCTGCACGACTCGGAGCACAGCGCTCCCTGCCATCCAAGCGCGCCCGACCCGCTTACCAGCCGCCCGGCACTCGGACCCCAGACTCTCAGGACGCGCGCTGCAGCCATCTTCCCCGGAAACGACAGCTGCGCCGCAGCTGGCAGAGCCGGCCGGACGCAGGCGGGGGGTGGGCACCGACGCGCCTCGGCGGCCAATGCGCAGCGCCGGAGCGCCCCGCCCACCCCGCAGCCAATCGGCGAGCGGAGCCCAGCGGGGGCGGGGAGCCCCGGCGGCAGGCGAGAGGGCCGGTGCGAGCTGGCTTCTGCGGGCGCGGGTGTCGGGGCCCGTCTCGGGGCGGGCATAGAGGGCGAAGGGTGCACAGACCGGGGCGCTCTTGGAGACCTGGGGGCGAGCAGGAAAACGCCCTTCTCCGAGCTGTGCTGTAACGGCTGCGAGGGCGGAAAAGCGGAACCTTCTCGGGGCGCTGCGTTTTAGGCCTCCGCGTGGGAACGCTTCCAGGGGCGAGCACTTCTTCACCCGTATTCTTGATCTCTGGAATCGGTTCTCGACTTGCATTGCATGAAAGATGAACAAGGTTGCTTAACGTCTAACATAAACATGTCACCGCCAATATCTTTCCTTTTTACCCAGTGCTGTGAAATGCAGCAGCCCGGCATAGGCAACATCACACACACACACACACACACACACACACACACGCACGCACTCACACACATGCACGCACGCACGCACGCACACAGGCTTACTTGCCTGTTGGAGAAATGTCAAATTCAGGGCAACTGGAACTGCTAAGGATTAGAATTTTCTTTACTAAGCAGTCTTACCCTGTCATGGTTTGTGTCTAGTTGTCCCCCCAAAGCCTCATGCAGTCACGGGGCAGACTTCTAGACTTTGTGATTAACTCAGGATCTAGCGCTGGGATTATGGGTGTGAGTGCTGCACCGGCCCGGGGTGGACAGCCTCAGTTCAACAGCAGGGAGTCAAGACTTGCTCTCTGTCGCCATTGTTGCTGCTACTCCCATTTGCTCTTGCTCTCTGCTCTTTGCTGCCACCATGAACAGCTGCCATCTGCCACGCGCCACTCTGCCTTAGAGCCAGCTGAGTATGAACTGAAACCTCCAGTATCTGTGAGCTAAGTAAACCTTTCCTTCTTTCATTTTGAGTGTGGGGTATTTGTTCCAGCAACGAGAGAAGAGTAACCGAGACATACCCTAATCAGTTAGGAAATTTATAGACTGATTACCCTAAATCACATGAGTGGAAAACCATCCCAATAAGTACATTTTTGATTTTTAAAAAAGTTTCCTCTCATCTATTGATAGATCATATTTTTAAATGTGAAATGGTCATCAACCCCAACTTGGTCATAACGTATTGTATTTTGTAAATATTGTTGAATTTGGTTGCCAATATTTTGATTGAAACTGCTGCATCTAAATTGTAAATAAAGCTGGCTTGTGATTTTTTTTTTTCCACCCCTATGCCATCTTCCCTTATTTTGGTATCAAAAGTGATAGTCTTAGTCCGGGCGCGGTGGCGCGCGCCTATAATCCCAGCACTTGGGAGGCAGAAATCAGGAGGATCACTACTAATGTGGGCTATGTAGTGAGACCCTGAACAACAAAAAAGAAAATCTAAAAGTGATAGTCTTTTAAAATGAATTTGTGTTTTTACATCTTTTTCATATTAGCTTGGAAAATTTATATGAGTGTGGGATGAATGTTCTATTCCCAGAAAACTTGGTATATTTAGTCAGTGATGTCCTTGGACCATGTTTCCTGCCCACTCCCCTCTTACCTACTGGTTGTGTAGATTTCCTTAATGGTGATATCACAAACAGGGCTATTAATTCCCCCCCCTTTTTTTAGTCATATAAATACTCAGTAATCTCATCTATAATTCTTTTACAATTTGTTTAAATCAAAATCTAGCTAACCACCATCACTTTTTTTCTTGCAGTTCCTTTTTTGAAGAAAATAGGTACCCTAACAATCTGGGTGCATGCAGTACAGAAACTACCTGCTGTTTTTAGTCAGATTTATATTGAAAATTCAAGATCAAAAAGCTGATTTGAAAAGCTTTTCATTCCCACAGGAAGGAAGGACAGGCAAAATTGGAGCAGAAGAGAGCTACAGAGCTTCCTTAAATGGGAAAGGGAGAAGGACACAAGGGAGAAGGGATGGACAGGAAGGGAAGGAGAGGAGAAGAAGAATTAAAATGTGTACACCAAGCAACTCCCCAGAAGGAAAACAGACATTACGTACTGCGAACATGATGGCCCAGCTGTTGCTCAAGCTGGCAGCAGACCTTGGCATTGCCCACATGGTGCACCTCTTACAGGCATGCAGAGTGCAAGAGTTGGGTCAGGGAGGCTTCCATCCAGATTTCACAAGACTTGAGAGACCAGGGAGTGAGTCCCTGAGAAAACAGTGCATGAAGCTCTGGCAGTGAAGTCAGAAGTGCTGCGGAGACCTCAGAATGTAGAAGTCAGGAAGACACAGTGTCTCGTTTTGTTGCCCTGGTTGAGCTTGAACTTTTGTGCTCAAGTGATCCCCCTGCCTCAGCTTCCTGAGTAGTTGGGATTACAAAGCACAAGAAAACAAACCATCATGTCAGGCCTCCTCTTTTTTATATAATTAAAAAGTGATGGGTTTTGTTTAAGTTCTGTTTAATTTTCCCTTTTGTCCATTTTTCCTCTTACAGCTGGACTGGAAATTATACAGTTGTTTTAGTGGTTACCTTGGAACTTTGCCTTGCACACTTATCTTAGTGTTAACTTATGCCTTCACTCTAAAGAGAAACCTCAGAAATCTTTAGCTTTTGTCATCCACCTCTTGACCTACATACTTTTGCTATTTGGTGTTATCTTATGTAATGTGCAAATCATTTTTTATGTTTCAGATTTTTCTTCTAGGCTGATTTTTATTCTGCAAAGGAAAGATCCTTTAAAATTATTTTTGAAAATATATGTAGATATTAAATTCAGTTTCTATAAATCTGAAAATTATTTCATTTCTGTACTTCACCCTCACTCTTGACAGATAATTTTGCCTGATATCTAATTCTAAGTTGATGATTACCATTAATCATCATTACTTATTAATCATGCATGATTCTGAAAAACCTTATGAGTCCACTGTCTTTTTTACTTCCATTGTTCAATTGAATCTGGTATCAGAAACTGTCCTTTCAGGGCTGGCCAGATAGCTCAGCGGACTAAAGCACCTGCTTAGGCAGGCTCAGCGCGCGGGGTTCAACCCCCAGTGTGCGGTGCTGGCTCACCATCCGGCCTGCACTGAGCAGGCACCGGTCATGGCGTTGCAAGCCTGTAATCCCAGCACCTGAAAACAGAAGGATCACTATGAGTCTGAGCTGTGTAGTGAGACCCTGTAGACCCTGTACTAAACACATGAAAAAAGAAAAGAAACTGTTCTTTCTTTAAAGACCCAGGATTTAGCCTAACTCTGCCGCTTCCTTGTTCCCTTATCTTGGACTATCACTTCAATTTTCAAGACCTTGTTTCCTTATTGGCCCAAAAGAGACAAAACCAAGCCCACAGTTTTTAACTAACACTACACACACACTTACACTTATTATTATTTTTTTGTTTTTTGCGGAACCGGGGATTGAACTCAGGCCCTTGTGCTTGCCAGAGAAGTGCTTATTCCACTGAGCCATCTCCCCGGCCCCTTACACTTATTATTATCTACACTCTTGGCTGGTCTTTACATCATACTGCCCTTTTGTTCACTTCTCCTTACCCCTGGAAGTAAGTGGAATGCGGATAAAGGGTCAGAGCCAGGAATTCATAAGGAGAGTAAGAAATTAAAGAGGACAAGCCAAGTTTGGGCTTTCAGTAGTAGAGTGCTTGCCTAGCAGGTGCAAAGCCCTTGGTTCGACATCCAGCTGTGAAACAAATAAATGAATGAGCCTTTTTCAGAGGCCGTCTTCAGCAGGGATCTGAAACGTGAGATGAGCGTACAGACTTCACGCTCTAACGCCACCGACACCGCCTTACTTCAGGGCTCCACCATCCCCTGCCCAGAAGCTGCATCACTGGCGCTTCTCCCTTGGGGCTCCCCGGCCTCTGTTCACTGTTCTCCTACTCCAGTCACCACTCTGAAATACAAGTAGGATTAGCTCCCTGCTCGGTATCTTACAGCACGTCCCAGATGGGGTTAAGAATATAGTCTGTTCCAGAAAAGTTCTAAGACAGCAGTGTTTACATCAGATTACTCAGGCAGATCGTTTCAGTCTTCTAGGTAACTGTGTGACTTTAAAAACCTGTGGAACATACTTCGTCGGGTGTGAATGTGGTGAGTGGTGCAAAGCAGCTGAGGGCTGGAGAGACACTGGCTGTCACTGTTCCGGTTTATCAAACTGTAGTGGCGAGCACACGTTATCATTGTGGATGGCGCTGTGATTCAGTTCTCGCTCTAGCGTACCTCAATACCTTCCGTGTATTAACTGCCTTAATCTTCTTGCCGACCTTAAGTTTTCTTATAGCAGCACAATCTTGGCTAAACAGGGATAGGAGTTCAATCCTTGGTTCTGCCAAAAAAGTAAAGAATAAAAAACACAGGGCTAGGGCA